AGTTCAGCCAGTGAAGTGTATACCATTGAGCGCGCCTTGATGCGCAGTTAGTTTTGCCTTCGAACTATGCGACTGCCCTGTGAAAGGAGCCATGGACATATTTTTCCATGGCATCCTCCACTTATCTTCTTCCGCAGGAAAAGATTTGTAGAGGACGTACTTCCTAGTGGAGATATACTAAGTGAGCGCATTCACTCATAGGGGAGAATTCAGTTTCGAGTTTTGCATACCATACGCTTTCGCTATTTTTTTGGAAGTCTCGTCTCGTCAACACTGCCAGACTGCGCTGTAGTTCATGCCCCGTCATACGCTCTATCGTTTGCAGGGATCATGACTGCAAATGAAGGATGCCACATAGAGGAAAATTCTTCGCTAATACGTTCACATAATCTTTTCTCGAGTTCTGAAGGCATAATTGAACCAAATGGCTCGAGGGCATTCACCAGCTTCATTGCATGAGACCGGACTGACTCGACTTTCTCTGATAAGAGTCATGCTGTGCCTAGCATCCATGATCACCAGTTATTAATTTCAGATTTATTCGGGAACTTTTCAGATATAATGTTGCGAAGGGTTACTACTGGCAGTTCGACAAGAAGCCTGTTGTCAAAAAAGGAGGACGAAAAGGTCTGTTAGTGTCATGCACTGTTATTACGGATAGTCGGTTATCCTATACAGCAGTTTTATTCAGTCAGAAGAGGAGCAGCCACTCCAAGCTCGCAGCACACACTTTCAGAAGACACGCACTCATATGCTGATGCAGAACCTCTTTGAAATGTTCCCAGCTGGGAACGCTGTGGCAATTTCGGTTAGTGGTTTTTTCGGCATTGGGGAGAGGAAACTATGCATGCATTAATTAACAGGATCATTGGCAAAATTATTTGGATAAGTTTTTGGGATAGTCTTATTTTGGAAAGATTGCTTTTTTGATTCTCTTGGTCTTATTCCTGTTTCTTTTATTTTCCTTCACCTCTGAACGTTTTCGTGGATCAATCATTTGGGCATGTTTCCATATACGTGACGATTACTTTAATTATGCGTAAATCTAAACGAGTATCGAATCACTAATATTGTAGCGGTTATTAATCATTTTTAAATGAAATGTGATATTAAGGTGCAATTCTTTAGGACCCTCCTGAAAAGTCGGAACCAATGGATACCGAGGAAAAGCCAGAAACAAATGGTGATGTTGCAGCACAACAAACTGAAGAAACGACTCAAGCGCCCAGCACTTCAGCCGCCAAGTCTAAATAGAACCGCGTGCAATTATGAAAGGTTAAGCTATCCATATTATCTAGCATCGGGTATGCAGGTTCTGCAGTTGTTTTTTGTATATAAGTGTGATCTCATCAGAGCATGAAGTTGACAGTTTACATGAAGCTTTCGTATTCTTTCAATGAGAAGCTAAGCGGTTGTGACTGGTTTGAGAATCTGCTTCAGATCTATTTTGGCGCTGAATTACCATGACTTAATAGTGCCATTGGGAACTACGCCCTGAGCATGTGTACGGGAGAGAATCTTTTTTTGAAGGTTTTGTTTGTTCATTTCGGACCGCCAAAATTATGATCGCTTTTTGGCGCACTTCGCCATGGTGGGGGCACTTATTCGTATTCTACGATATTTGTACAAGCCAGCGTTTGAAGACTTGTAAATTTCTCTAGCTAAAGTAGGTCACATGTACCATTTGAGAACTTTAGTAAACGCGAACTAACAAGGAAGTAGTGAGATTGCAGTATGCTTTCCCTCCTCCTCTGAGCTGAGGAGCCCCCATTTTCGAGCCAAGAACTTCTACAATCTCCTTCTGATATATTCATTGCCATACCATTGTTGATTGCTAACTAAAAGATGGGTCACTGAACCGGTCTGCAAAGTTTTAATAGTTAGTATGCTTTCATACTTTGCAATCTGGGAGTATGAAGGACTGAATCCAAGAGGAGTGGGGGCAGGTCCTTCCTTGTGACCATTTGAGTTTTTCGACTATTAAGCCCAACATGTTGAACAAACTTCTGGTTTCTTGACCTGCATTCCAGAGTGGCTGTGCTCCAAT